GGAGCAGCCTACATCGAATCAAACTGTTAAAGTATATAAGCTTTCTATTTAAATCAGCACGTTTAGAAGGAATTGTTGGACAAACGTATACATGCACACCCGGATTAATAGATTGAATCTGGGCAATTTTTGAAACTAGATGGTTGTAGATTATATCAATATCGTTTTGGCTTTTTACATCTGTTTGTTTCAGGTCATTAACCCCACACAATATAACACAGTTTCTATAGCCACAGGACACATAAGGATCAATGCTATCGACAGTTGGGGCAAAGAATCGTTTTCCAGGAAGCCATTTGCCGAATGACTTGGCAGGATCAGAACCGAATTTCAGTCCGCCGGTGTTCGAGTCCCCAATGATACATGTAGCGTTTCTATTCAGGGAACTGACTGATCTCAATGTTATACTGTAGCGCAGCCCAGTTATCTCGCCTGCGTCGATACGATGGTGGAACAGTGCTTGGCTACGACGAGTCATTACATATAATGATCCTGGGCCACATAGTTGCTTGTGCTCATCAATACCTGTACTAGCATCAGAGAAAGAAACATGACATGCAGTACCAAGAGAGACTGTAAAGATACTTGATTCCGGGTGGAGAGAAGGCTCGTTATCAGAGTGTCTAGGCAAGGTGCTGCTTGTGCCGTCAAACCGATTCACCAAACAGCTGTTAACCTGAGGTTGGTCACCTGAACAAAACTCACTGTTGATTCTGTCGATGAGTTTTCTCAAGGGTGGTGGTATTGCCTTTGGTGTCTTGGACGACTTAGATCCAGGATAATCGTACCGTTCCCCATATGATAGGCAGGAGCGTTCGTTTTCAATTTTGAAGTCTGTGCTGCTCAAATCAAATAGGTCAACTAGTTCTTCCGCAGTCTTCTGATCTATAAAATCGTTTTTGAACAGTTCCACAGGTTTCTGCTCATGATGAGGTGGCTGCAAAAGGACAGGTGGTGCTGGAGGACGAAGATGCTGTGCAGGAGGTAGGTTGGGAGGAATGCAAGGACCAGGGTTATGCAATGGCTGTATAGAACTTATAGACTGTTTTAGTTCAGCAATGCCTGCAGCTACAGTGGGCTCATTTGCAGAAAGTGCGGTGAGTTGTTCTGAGATGCTCTTCAGAAACTGCTCAGATGAGTCTGTAGATGGGGATGATTCAGGGGAAGGTCTAGATGCTAAAAGTTTAAGGTCCTTCTGTAGTTCAGCAATGTTGGTATTTATTGATTCTAATGATAATAATATTTGAAACAGATATTTCACGAGTATCACCCGTTTATTATTATATACATAAACTATGTTAAAGCGTTATAAAAAGAAAATTGGCATATTATAGCAATTAGTATTTTTAATTATTTTTAAATAATTCATTAGCAAAACTGAAATGATTAAAAATTGATGAGCGTGCAATGTGCAATGATCGCGAGCATACCATTACAAATCGTAAATGGTAAAATTACCTAAAGTTGACAATATTGAGTACCCCGCCATTTTATAACATTTAAATGTTAAATTGTATGATATTAACTGTTTGATACAGTAAACAAGTTTATTTGTACTACTTTTGCTGTTTTCACAAAAATTCTTTCTTTCCAGACTTACTGTTCCACATTATATATGATATAATACCTTCCGGGAATTATATCCACTAAAACTCGGGGACACCGAGGGCTGATAATTTGCTCATTTTTCCCGCAAGAGAAGCGAGGGTATTATCAGCCCAGACTCAGACTGGCTGGCGGCAAGTTTCAAAACAAATAACACTGGCGTTCTATATATTAGACACTATATTGTATGATGCGCACGTATCGGATTACACCCCTTCTGCAATCGGAACCGGAACGTATTATAAAATATAATACCTCCGCAACTTCGTGCCCGCAAATTCCCTCCAGCAAGCTGTCGGGAATTATAGCGCGCAGCACTCAGTGGCGGAGGTATTATAGTATTATATTATAACTCAATATGAAATAGCTACAGTAAGACTGCATAGTTTTTAATAACACTTTTATGTGTCCCTACCCATTTATAAGGGTCCTGACCTATAATATTGTATACTAATTTCCATTTTCCATTGTTTTAATTACATGTTTTATCCTGCAACAGTCTACTAAGCTATACATTCGGCATGCTTTCAAAACATTATACCATGCTTATTGCTTAATTGTAATTATTTGGTACTGCATCATGGATTTTGTCGAATTACTAGCTGTCATGATTGCAAGCCATGAAGTTTAGACGGAATTTAATTGAGTATTCATTTTGATCTCACTAAGTTACAACTCCTCATATTGAAAGGGGTAAACGATTTTAATAACTTATAAGTCCCTTCTTCACTATATTCTGGAATATTTAATCAGTCTCCATTTTCTGCCCTAAATGTTCGGTACATAATTATGAATAGAATAAGGATTCAATTTAGAAACCATTGTTATAAATACACTTAATTTTAACCACACCATGTAGGATTTAAAAAACAAAAGGATTGGTTACAATAATGTTGTTTTTGTTTGATAAATTTTCAATCGTGGTCGACCAACGGATTTCGAATCAGCCTCTAAAAATACATGCATTGAAGTGAACTTCATATCATCAGGACCCTATCATAATATGATTCAAAAATTCGTTAAGAAATTATTTCCAGCTTAGTTAAATTTGAACGTTGTAATATAGATGGAAAAATAATAAGCGCCACCTACAGTCTGCACCCTCCTAAAATGTTTCTCAAAAAGGAAGATTTATTTTGCCAAACTCGAATTCAAGCTAATAGTATATTAGAGAGACATTTATTTCATTTAACAAATCAATAGTAGCGCATTAAATTCTAGATTCATTTTATTATTTTCAGATGTGGGCACCTGAGGATGTTTTTAAAAGTTCTCCCCTTCCCCAAGGAAATTATTGGCCATCACCCATGATTAACCAACATGAAAATGTTTTGCTGAATTCAGATAAAATTGAAAGTAAAAATGATATGGATGTAATCAGTAAAGGTAAGAATGTTGGCACTTCAATTTTTACAAAGGCTCCAAAGAACATAGATTCCATGCCTGTTAGCATGTCTCATGACAAAGAGAATACAAAACCTCTAAAAAGGACAGTGAGTGTAGACAATGCTTCCACTTCTGTTGATGATTTGATTAAAGATATCGATGATAACTTAGCAATTGATCCTGACTTTGTCAGACCTACGCCAAGCTCTAAAACCCAAGTCAATAACATCCTTTCAGTAAGTGACCACTCAGATACAACCTTGAATGTATTGTCTCCTAGCACACTGAACTTTTACATGGATCGATTTAAGCATAGTCAACCAACACATCCTTCCAAGAGACCTCATAAATCCAGTCCATTATTTGAAGCTGAAGAAGTGACAAATGCAGGAAATTCACCTTCTTCAAATGACAGTTCTTATAATACATTGACTCTGGACACCTCCTCATATCTTGAAAGAATTGTAAGCTCTGATGATAGCACAGAATGGAATTTCACAACTGGTTTCAATGATGAAGTTGCACCAACTAAAAGTGTGAATGAACTTCAGTATCAGATAATAATGATAACAGCACACCTACAGTAGTACTCAATTCTTATAAAACCAAACAAGTCTCATTTATTGAACAGTTGACAGGAAGGACCTTTTCTGAATTGAGCGAACTTGTTCCCAAAGAGGTGATCTATCCTACAGATGAGAATGAAGATATTCTGTATCAATGGAGACTTAAAAAACACATAGCTGAAGCAAAGAAATCCATGCCAACAGATGATCCATGTATGGCAGGTTATGAAAATGAGTTATGCCGTGATCAAAATAAATTACCATTCAGTACCATGACCAGTAATGTGTCGAAAGAAATTCAGACTGATGTTGAAAAAAGAGAGTCCAGTTGTCAAGCAGACATGATCCCAAACTGTTCAAACAGGAATGAATCAGCAACTAACACCAACATCAAAGTCAAGTTTTTTAATCCTGTTCATAATCAAATACAGGATTCTTGTTCAGATTCTGTTTCAATATCAAGTATATCAACCGATGACCTCACAAATATATCAGACCTTGATGAGGAAGAAGAGCTTTTTAATGTTGTGGAAGAAGATGGTGCTTGTGACTTGACAGTTGTAGGGACATCCATGTCCAGAAAAGCAACAGATCCTGATAATTGTGATAAATCATGCAACAGGAATCCAGTTTTGGAGACGTCATCTTTGGAGTTGCTCCAAAATAGAAATCCAACTGAATATTTGTCCCCTCAGCAAACAGAAACTACAGTATCAGAAAATCAAGTAAATGTTGAGGAACTATTATCATATTTGGAAAATATCAGAAGCAACGTTGATGATGAATTGCTTAATGTATTTATTGACAGATATGAGAATGTTCTCGGTCAAATGAAAGAGATTGAAAATGAAATAAGTAGGCAATGCAATGAAGATTGATGACACTTTTTTTTGTAACAAAATGACACATTAAGTTAGTATGTTTGATTCAAAATCTATATTTTATTGTTCAGAGATATGTTACAGAATGCATGAATTTCAAGAAATGTTATCAAGCTAAAAATATTTAATTCCAATTCTTTCTAAATTATACAGACCACGTTTTCTATTTATTAAGAAAGATGTTGCATAATGCATGTATTTTAAGCACTATAATTATTTATTTAAGTATGATTTTTATCATGTTTTGTATAACAGAAAATTTTGTATATTAGTTGTGTCCTTCTTGACTATAAGTATATTATTATTATTATAATAAATTATGTTTAAAATAAAGTGTTGCTTATAATATGGACTAGAGTTATTAGTATTGAGTAGAGTCACTGCAAGATATCGTCACCTGTTGTATAATAGACACAATTTTAGTTCTAATTTGCTCTATCTGAATCATTTAAGATATTGTATACATACTGCTTAAAATTCCTACACATTTTTGTCTGTTGTTATGTTTTTAATAAGATTTGTAATTGTTTAGTCAAATTTTACATTAATATCACAAAGGATATGGCACGAATATAAGTAACAGTAGATGACCATGTCAGTAAAAAAATACAAGATATGTGATAATCAAGAGTACTCCCGGATACCAACTCCCCCGGCAATTGCAAGTAAGTTTATATCAGGGAAATTGAACTGTGAAACAACAAATTATGATATTCTTGTGTTAGTTATGCATATGATCTATAACTTTTATTTTTAACACGAATATAAATGAATCTACCTAGAGAAAAACAGTATTAAACCTATTTAGTTTAGTATTCCTCCTTGTTCATCAGACTGGTTGCGTTGTTTGTATCGAATATCTCACACTACGATTTTCAGGATCGAACTCTTCGGTAAGACCAAAGAGTTTAGTACGAATTAGTTTATCTTCAAGTGCAAGCAATCTGCTCATAAAACCCGGATCTATCGACATATTCAACACTTCCGTTATTCCTGCTATTTCTAAATATGGTACAGTTATTATATGCTTTTCATTTTTTTAGTATCCAGGCTAGGTATATTGAACTTTAATTTGTCTATTGTGTTTAGATAATCCTTTTTTGTAATACAATACCTCAGACTGACACGTGTTATTAATACTATATTTTATCAAAATAACACAATTTGTAAATAACTAACTATGAGTATTATATTATATCCACCAGCGTGCGCTTTTTCGCATAGCGGGCTCTCACCAGCCCGCTGTCAAAGGGCCCGATATCTCTACAGCCCGCTCATGATATAGCCCGCTAACAAGTGACATTTAATTTGACCAGTAGCAATATAGCCCGGAGTTCTCTAAAATATTTTCAGTTTCTGTATCGTCTCCATGTGAAATTCCATAAGACAACAACTTACAAGTTACTTAGAACTATACAGTTGTATAGTTGAAACCGGTTTAATTCATTAACGATGAATTCAATTGCAATAATCGTACAGTGAGCTAATTAGTGTAGTTTCTGTTTCTAAATTCCCACGGCAATATGCAGTGGATGTAAAGAATGTACAATGTATCAATTGCAAACTCTGATCGCTCACCCTCTATCGGACGCTATATCAGTTGTCACGCAGTTTGCCATGATTGGCTCATAATTAACACGTGACACTGACACACTGTTACTATGGTTACCACGAATTTGCAAATTCGTGGAGACGTCCAGACTAAATTCTAAGCCGGTGATCTCTATTATAGTATCGATAATTGTTTTGTGTTTACCATTTCAGTTGTGTTTACCATTTTCATTTCACTAGTTCAGTCGATAAATCTTGAAATGGGCCGAAATTTTACGTGTTATTCTATTGTGTTCCCGAAAGATATTTTGCCCGGCCCTGTTTTTGTTTTGAAACTGCCATTTAAATTGATGTTATGAATTTGATCTTAAACTTTCATATTAAATGTCCATGATCAGACTGTGATCTCGAGCTCTCTGGGTTACTACTTTTAAGTGTCCAGCCACTCAGTAGCTGCTACAGAAACTGTAGTAACTGGTTACCGGCTGGGTAACCCTGGTTACCCAGGTAACTGACATGATAATGACAACTAACTTGGTAGTAGAGGGCTCTGTGGCGACTGGTGGTGCTTGTTCTGGTTCCAGGGAGGGAGAGGGGAGAGAGGTAGAGAAGTATAGAGGAAGAGTAGGAGAGAAAGAGAGGGAGAGGAGGAGAGAGGGAGATAAAGAGAGAGGGATAGAGGGAGAGAGGGACGTAAGGAGGGTGGGAGAAGGAGAAAGGAAGATAGGGAGAGAGTGAGAGAGGGATAGAGGGATAGAGGGAGAGAGGGATAGAAGGAGAGAGGGAGAGAGGCCTATATTTTGATCGTTTACATTAAAATATGTACCTGAAACAATGAGCTGAAACATTGTTTGATAGCAGCCGCTTTTTCGTTCTATAGTCAGTCATTTTGGCCTGTTTTACATCTTAAACCAAAAGCAACATGATTTTTTCGTAACTTTTCTGAAATCTTGTACATTAATTTGCTGTGATTGTTGCAAACTGAAGCTTCGTGATAAACGCCCGCTGATGGATATACACGATATCATTCCTCGCCTCGAGGGCGGAACTATCGTATTAGAAACATGTTGAAAGTAAAAGTGAAATTAAATTAAAAATGGATCTCTTGAAGAAACTAAAGTAAAACTAATATCTGTAAGAAAAAGCTCACGCTGGTGGATATAATCCACATCACCTCGACCCGCGGGCGGAAAAATCGTATAGCACTCGGGCCCGATGGGCCCTCCGTGCTATACGAAAATATGTCCTCCTCGGGCTAGCGCCCTCGGGGACATATGAAATATTGCACGCGCGTGCGCGTGCAATATTTTGTTCCGCCCGCGAGTCTCCGGTGATATGTATATATATTTTAAGTACAAATTTTTCTCCGGATATACTGGCTACCTTGATGGCGACTTGTGTCACTCTCACCGACTTTGTCATTTCAAATCCGTTCTGCTTCATTTTTTAAGGTCATATGCAGTAATTTATTATCTAGTACAGTAATCTGAAGAAAAAAAATGGGCGTCTAGCATGTTTGGAAAGAACACTATTATACGTAACTTTGCGATAAGTTCAGTTTGCTGCTACCGCGTAGTAAGCCTTTGCGTGTGTATACTTGTACATTACTATACAATGTACACCACGGAGGATGATTTACAGTTGACCCGATCTCAGAAGAAACTTAAGGATTTCAACTATGAAGAAAAAGAAGATGTAGAGGGCTGTGCTGATAGATGGTTCACTTCGATGGCAAGAGAACTGAAATTAGAAAACTTCGAAATTCGTGGAGATATGGACCAAGAAATACTCATGTCTCCGTCTATCTATAAAAGGTATATGGCAAACTGGGTTATGCAAGCAGCAGACCTCGTACGACGGCAGAGTAGTCAGATGAGCGTTATGATGGAAATCGTTGAGTGCCTCAAGACGGAAGCACTAGCAGACAAGGAAAAGATGGTCAGGTTGCAGGACCAGTTGCTAGTGCAGAAGGACGAACAACTACAGTTGTTTAAGACGTCAGTTGAAGAGACAGTACAAACAACGGTGGAGACAGGGATTAAGAGCTACAGTACCGCTGTACAAAAGAACAGCACAAATGGCGCCGTCTGCAACAGTAAAATTCTGAAGAATGTAATAAAGAGTGTGGCTGCAGAGGAGGACAGGAGCAAGAATCTGATAGTGTTTGGACTGAAAGAAGAGGATGGAGAACAGCTTCCAGCTCTGGTAACCGCAGTATTGGAGGAGATCGGGGAGAAACCTCATTTTGAAGCGACTAGAGTCGGCTGGAAGAGGCCAGGTATCACGGCTATCCGACCAGTCAAGATCACCGTCCCAAGCTCAACAGCAGTTCATCAGATTCTGATGAAAACAGGGAGACTGAGGATGGCTGATGCACACAAAGATGTATGGATCTGTCCTGATAGATCCAGTGAAGAGCGTGCAGCAAGGAAGAACGTGGTAACTGACCTGAAGAAGAAGAGGGCTGAACAGACTCATCTCGACCACTACATCCGTAACGGGAAGGTCTGTAGCCGGGTTAAGAAGGCACCATGATGACGTAATTCATGTTTCTCGGACACCACCGATCAGTATAATATGTACTTGTAGGGGTATTTTAAGAGTTTACGGACGTTATCTGTATTTGAGAGACAATTATATTATATAAATACATTATTATTTGATTGTTTCACACTTTTCACGTTTCATAATTCATTACTAGGTGGAGGTGATGTTATTGATACTTTGGGCGGCCAAAAAACTCCTGTTCTGAAAGTTGTCCTCTGTACTTGTTTCACTGACCCACGCTTTTTAGCATTTATACATTTCGGCCCATTTTATATGTTTGTTCGAATTGCTGTACATTTGTATACTTGCTATTTTGTAAAAGTTTCAAATCATGTGGTTTAATATTGAATTTTGGCGACAGAATCCTCGAATGAGTAGGTAAAATATCTGCAAAGTAACAAATATAAAACACGGCGGTGGTATAAGGCCCAACGTATGTACACTGACTTTTGTTCCCCCCCCCCCCCGGCCCCCCTCTGTGGCTTGTATATTATATAATAACTAGAAAGCCCGTGGTAACAGGGATGAAGCTAGTAGTATTCTTTGAAAGAAGGTTTTAATCGCATCAAAAAATATCCATCCTAACCGAAGATACAGCCGATTTAAATGTTAAACACTTTAAACACAACGTAATTACCACAAAGCCGATCAAAATGCCGTTTCATCAATCATTGCACGTGCACGTGCTCATTCAAACACCGTTGCTATGCAACCTTTTGATTTTTACCTAACTTCATATTTCTCGTCTGATTTGCACGTGGGCGGTCGTACATACAGACAACAGACGAATTATAATAGAGATATTATACAAAGTGTTAAATGAAAGACGTGTTACACAAAATCATGAACTGAACGATACGACTGACCAATTTGTCGAAAGTAATGTTCTGACCAGCAAACTAACATAATAATAATTACAGATATACCTCCGGAGCCTCGAGAGGGGCTCAGAATAGCAGTTAAACTTCCTTGTGGGCAAAGACTCTGCAGAAGGTTTATTATTTTAGTATTATAAAAAAGTCCATAATCTCGGTTGTTCAACACTAAGTCTCGCTTGAATGACTTAAATGTACATCTTTGTTGGGTATATTTTAATGTCGAAGCGTGTAATAAATGTTAGAATTTATTTATTTATTTATTTTACTTATAGGGTACAATTTGTTTATGATAACTCATATTGTTTTTTAAAGCAGTGCTAAGTACGGTTGGCAACATTATATGATTTACTAACTGTGCTGATTGCTGTTTCTGAAATCTCATATTTTATTGTGCTCTAAAAAACGATTATAGAGGCATGTTACATTGATAATGATACTGATAAGTTAAACAATTGACTCTTGTTATCCTAGGTTTACCAAGACCACAAGAGTCGGATCACTCCACTCCTGGATAAAAAGCGAGCTAACCCAACGTGACGAAAACAAGATGGACGCTGAAGATGGCCTCCAAAACTCAGAAACATTTGTTCTAAAACTGGTAGCTCCACCCTGTACCAGCAAGATACTTGAAGATGAGAACAGTTCTCTGAGTGATTATGAGATATTTTCTGACACTTTGCTGGTTTTGGAAAATGACTGATATACTTGCGTGTGACATTTAATCAAGTGTTAAATGTTTGTTTTTAATTTTATGCTGTAGATCAGGTCATGTCGGTTGCATAATACATTACTTCCTTAACTTTTTTTCATATTATTAAGTTACAGTTATTAGTTATACTCAGCACTCGTCTCAGCACACTCGCTCACTTTAGATCACATGGGACTCTGATACTGAACGATAATTGAATCGGAGAGGGTGCAAATTTCCGCACGTTCGTTAAAAATCCAAAACCAAAAATAGAATATGGATCTAGTGGAATTTAAGAAACGTTTGATCAGACTGTAGATCGGCATCCTGGAGGGAAGGTGAACTGTATTTGTAATTGTTTGGACACGTGACAGTGATTCTGGTTTTTGATTTGTCAATGCTGAAAGCCTAGCTGATTGGATGATCTCTGTCACGTGTCAAAACAAACACAGTTCACCTTCTTCCACCAGTATCCAGATCAACAGAACCTAATTAGCAGCCAGCGGAATCTCATTACCTACTAAAGGTGGGGCTAAGTATGATATACTGGGGATCACTTAATTACTTAAACAGGGTAACTGGACACGGACAATATTAGACAGTTTAAACACCCGTCCTCAGATGGCAGGAAATTCGATAAAGGCATCGCCCTGTAATCAGATAAACGGAGAACTTGGCAAAGTAAACACGGATTAAGAAAATCATATTATTTATTTTTCTCTGCAACATTTTCATCCACATCTCACGGCTGGCTTATCGATACAAACCGCCATTTCTTGCAATCCCACAAAGAGTTTTGTTCCGATTTTCCCGTTATGTTTAAACCTTGCATTGCTGTTTTGTTTTGTTGTGTTACGCTTTGCGCTGCGCCTCCAGTAGATCAAGACAAGCGCTGCGCAAAAGAGCGTGACACCCTACAAAACTGCATGTGTCGTAAGAGTTTCCCAACAAGTCTTAATGTAGAGAAGCCAACTGAGGAGTGTAAGGAGAAGAAGAAGGCGATGTATAACTGGTCTAAGTGTAGGGGGGCGGAGGGGTATTTGTCAAGACGATGCGGGGTTATGAGGTATTATTTTTAGATTATCATATTAGCATAATATGCACAATGAAGAATGATACATTTTGTTATACTGCGATCTGCAATCTTGTTTGTTTGTTTGGGGCTGGCTTTTACACCAGTCAATGTTTACTCAAAATATATAATAATTGTAATAATCAATATTAATCCCCGAAGGGCACGCAAATTACATGTCATCGAACTCATAGTTATTTCGTCTAGATTTTATCAGTTGATTCTGATGACCCTGATCTGCAAACACATTTGAAAGCTTAAATGTTTATATCAAATTCTTTACTTGATAATACTGTCGTAGGTGTTTTATCAGTATAGGTTTGCGCTAGTTGGCAGTGAAATATGGAATGTGCTGTCAGGATGGCACGATAAGTGATTAAGATGGGACACTGATATAATAGTGAAAGTTGAGCTGCATATGTTAGGTTGCTATTAAGTGTCGGCTGTTCTTTTTGATTTACGAAATCCTGGTGAGTTATGGAGTGGAAACTTTTTGTTTGAAGTTAAAATAATTAAAGTAATTGAGCCCATGTCTTATCAGCACCTGCTTGTGCAGCTATCTTGACAGTGAGAAGACAGTGAAAAATGTGGCATATGGTTGATAGTGACTAGTGTGCTAACCGTCTAGTTTTACTTATTCCTTAGGTTATTCTCGGTAGTTGATTTGTTGAGTGCCTGATCTTGCTGATTTACGTAGCCCGGGTAAATTATGGGGGGGGGGGTGTCACGTCCGTCTATGTCCGCTTGTCTCATAGAATCCAAAAAGGACAGGACATAGGCGGACATAGACGGACATAGGCGGACATAGGCGGACGTAGGCGGACATAGACGGACATAGGCGGACATAGGCGGACATAGACGGACATAGGCGGACATAGGCGGACATTAATGGACACCTAAATTGCTAAATAAAATGTTCAATTTTTGCTGTTATAGGGGGATCATGTTTTTTGTCCGTTCGGTACCCTATATTTTCAAAACGGACAAAAAATAGAGCGGACAAAAACGGACAAAAATGGAAATAACATTTAGATGCTTCCTCCTCCTACTCTTCCTCCTCCTCCCCCTGGGTCTTCCTGATCTTCCTCAGTCCTCTTCCTCCTCCCCTCCTCAGTCCTCCTCCTACTCCTCCTCCTCGTCCTCAGTCCTCCTCATCAGTCCTCAACAGTCCTCCTCCTCCCCAGTCCTCCTCCTCCTCCTGAGTCCTCCTCCTGGGTCCTCCTCCTCTTCATCCTCCTCCTCTTCCTCCTCAGTCCTCAGTCCTCCTCCTCATCCTTCTCCTCAGTCCTCCATCCTCCTCCTCAGTCCTCCCCCAGTCCCCCTCCTCCTCCTCCTATTCAGTCCTCCTCCTCCTCCTTCTCAGTCCTCCTCAGTCCTCCTCCTCCTCCTTCTCAGTCCTCCTCAGTCCTCCTCCTCCTCCTCCTCCTCTTCCCTCTCAGTCATCCTCCTCAGCCATCCTCCTCAGTCCTCCTCCTCCTGGGTCCTCCTCCTCCTCTTCATCCTCCTCCTCTTCCTCCTCGGTCCTCAGTCCTCCTCCCCCTGGGTCCTCCTCCTCATCCTTCTCATCAGTCCTCCTCCTCCCCAGTCCTCTCCCAGTCCCCCTCCTCCTCCTCCTCCTATTCAGTCCTCCTCCTCCTCCTCCTCAGTTCTCCTTAGTCCTCCTTCTCATTTCTCCTAAGTCCTCCTCCTGAGTCCTCCTCCTCTTCCTTCTGAGTCCTCCTCCTCAGTCATCCTCCTCAGCCATCCTCCTCAGCCATCCTCCTCAGTACTCCTCAGTCCTCCTCCTTCTCAGTCATCGTCAGTCCTCCTCCTCAGTCCTCCTCAGTCCTCCTCCTCCTGGGTCCTCCTCCTCCTCCTGGGTCCTCCAGCCTCCTGGGTCTTCCTGATCCTCCCCAGTCCTCTTCCTCCTCCCCTCCTCAGTCCTTCTCCTACTCTTCCTCCTCGTCCTCAGTCCTCCTCATCAGTCCTCAGCAGTTCTCCTCCTCCCCAGTCCTCCTCCTCCTCCTGGGGCCTTTTCCTGGGTCCTCCTCCTGGGGCCTTTTCCTGGGTCCTTCTCCTGCTCAGTCCTTCCCCTCCTCAGTCCTCTTCTTCCTCTTCCTCCTCCTCCTCCCTCTCAGCCATCCTCCTCAGCCATCCTCCTCAGTCCTCCTCCTTCTCAGTCTTCGTCAGTCCTCCTCCTGAGTCCTCCTCCTCCTCAGTCATCCTCCTGAGTTCTCCTCCTCCTCCTCCTCCTCCTCCTAGGTCCTCCTTCTGGGTCCTCCTCCTCCTCCTCCTCCTGGGTCTTCCTGATCCTTCTCCTCCCTCTCAGTCATCCTCCTCAGCCATCCTCCTCAGCCATCCTTCTCAGACATCCTCCTCAGTCCTCCTCAGTCCTCCTCCTCCTCCTGGGTCCTCCTCCTCCTCCTCCTCCTGGGTCCTCCAGCCTCCTGGGTCTTCCTGATCCTCCCCAGTCCTCTTCCTCCTCCCCTCCTCAGTCCTCCTCCTACTCTTCCTCCTCGTCCTCAGTCCTCCTCATCAGTCCTCAACAGTTCTCCTCCTCCCCAGTCCTCCTCCTCCTCCTGGGGCCTTTTCCTGGGTCCTCCTCCTGGGTCCTCCTCCTCCTGGGTCCTCCTCCTCCTGGGTCCTCCTCCTCCTGGGTCCTCCTTCTCCTGCTCAGTCCTTCTCCTCCTCCTCCTCAGTCCTCTTCTTCCTCTTCCTCCTCCTCCTCCCTCTCAGCCATCCTCCTCAGCCATCCTCTTCAGCCATCCTCCTCAGCCATCCTCCTCAGTCCTCCTCCTTCTCAGTCCTCGTCAGTCCTCCTCCTGAGTCCTTTTCCTCCTCAGTCATCCTCCTGAGTTCTCCTCCTCCTCCTCCTCCTCCTCCTCCTAGGTCCTCCTTCTGGGTCCTCCTCCTCCTCCTCCTCCTGGGTTTTCCTGATCCTTCTCCTCCCTCTCAGTCATCCTCCTCAGTCATCCTCCTCAGCCATCCTCCTCAGCCATCCTTCTCAGCCATCCTCCTCAGTCCTCCTCAGTCCTCCTCCTCCTCCTGGGTCCTCCTCCTCCTCCTCCTCCTGGGTCCTCCAGCCTCCTGGGTCTTCCTGATCCTCCCCAGTCCTCTTCCTCCTCCCCTCCTCAGTCCTCCTCCTACTCTTCCTCCTCGTCCTCAGTCCTCCTCATCAGTCCTCAACAGTTCTCCTCCTCCCCAGTCCTCCTCCTCCTCCTGGGGCCTTTTCCTGGGTCCTCCTCCTGGGTCCTCCTCCTCCTGGGTCCTCCTTCTCCTCCTCAGTCCTTCTCCTCCTCCTCCTCAGTCCTCTTCTTCCTCTTCCTCCTCCTCCTCCCTCTCAGCCATCCTCCTCAGCCATCCTCCTCAGTCCTCCTCCTTCTCAGTCCTCGTCAGTCCTCCTCCTGAGTCCTCCTCCTCCTCAGTCATCCTCCTGAAATCTCCTCCTCCTCCTCCTCCTCTTCCTCCTAGGTCCTCCTTCTGGGTCCTCCTCCTCCTCCTCCTCCTGGGTCTTCCTGATCCTTCTCCTCCCTCTCAGTCATCCTCCTCAGTCATCCTCCTCAGCCATCCTCCTCAGCCATCCTTCTCAGCCATCCTCCTCAGTCCTCCTCAGTCCTCCTCCTCCTCCTGGGTCCTCCTCCTCCTCCTCCTCCTGGGTCCTCCAGCCTCCTGGGTCTTCCTGATCCTCCCCAGTCCTCTTCCTCCTCCCCTCCTCAGTCCTCCTCCTACTCTTCCTCCTCGTCCTCAGTCCTCCTCATCAGTCCTCAACAGTTCTCCTCCTCCCCAGTCCTCCTCCTCCTCCTGGGGCTTTTTCCTGGGTCCTCCTCCTGGGTCCTCCTCCTCCTGGGTCCTCCTTCTCCTCCTCAGTCCTTCTCCTCCTCCTCCTCAGTCCTCTTCTTCCTCTTCCTCCTCCTCCTCCCTCTCAGCCATCCTCCTCAGCCATCCTCCTCAGCCATCCTCCTCAGTCCTCCTCCTTCTCAGTCCTCCTCAGTCCTCCTCCTGAGTCATCCTCCTCCTGAGTCATCCTCCTCAGTTCTCCTCCTCCTCCTCCTCCTCCTAGGTCCTCCTTCTGGGTCCTCCTCCTCCTCCTCCTCCTGGGTCTTCCTGATCCTTCTCCTCCCTCTCAGTCATCCTCCTCAGTCATCCTCCTCAGTCATCCTCCTCAGCCATCCTACTCAGCCATCCTTCTCAGCCATCCTCCTCAGTACTCTTCAGTACTCTTCAGTACTCTTCAGTCCTCAAAATGTTTGTCTGCTAATGTCCACCAATGTCCGCTAATGTCCATCCAAGTCCGCCAATGTCCGTCCGGGTCCGCCAATGTCCGTCCGAGTCCGCCAATGTCAGTCCGAGTCCGCCAATGTCCGTCCGAGTCCGCCAATGTCCGTCCGTGTCCGCCAATGTCCCAAAAAACACGTCCGTTGTCTCATAGAATCCAAAAAGGACAGGACATAGGCGGACATAGACGGACATGACACCCCCCCCATTATGTAACAGAAAAGTTGGCCATTCTTCATCGTTTCCTGAGCTTTGTAGTTCTATCATTACACGCTTTGCTGATTTCTTATAAATGCTTATTGAGAAAATGCTAGATGGGCAAGTTATGCGACTAATGTTGTGCTCGGTTATAGCTAATATAGGACCTTTATACAGAACACTAGCGCGTAGATCTGGTTGAGAGTACGTTGTTAGCCAGTCGATATTGTCGTCATAAGACGTGCCATACTTTGGTAAATCGGGAGGAAATAAGTCTTTTATCGACGACGGCAGAAGGCCAGGCATGTAATTTAACTTGTGCATCAGAGTCAGAGCATTTTTTATGATTACCCCGTGTACAGTTAATATTTCGTACTCTTTAAACGTAGCTTTAGTATGATCCGGAAGTTTACCATCTTTGTAATAGTAATTCACGTAACCCGGCATAACTGCTCGTATTCCCTGTTTTTGTTTAGTGAACAGTGAGTCAATGTGAGATTTTGCAGCAAAACCCCAAACGAGCGAACAGAAATTTAAGTGAGATTGTACAAAACTTTGGAAAATCTGTAAGCGTGCTTTGATTGGTAATTTGCGTTTTATTTTGAACATAACACCTATAAACCGTGACATTTTTGTTTTGACAGCTCGAATGTGGCTGGCCCAGTTTAGTTTGTCGTCGACAATAACTCCTAAAAATCTGGCCTCCGTTTTGCGTTCAATAGGAGTGTTGTCAATTCTTACCTGTAGAGACGATAAGTCTACCCGTCTTTTGGAAAATACCATATAGCAAGTCTTCTTTAAATTAAGAGCTAAGCCGTTTGAGTAAACCCATTTTATCAACAGATCTGCATACACTCCATTTTACATTCATAATATGAGCTCCACGTTTGGTAGGATTTCAATGTTTGATTTAAGAAATTCGATCCGGGTCTGAAGGGTTGGAATTACTGTTATCATGACTCTTTTCTACTAATATCACGATTTAATATTGCACAGTCCCTAGTATTTGGTAAACTCTTCCAAGGCACTCGTACATTCTCTCAAAAAACGCATGATATTTTTGTTTTAATGCTGTAATGTTTCTGTTTTATTTGTAATGTCAGTCAAAATTAAGGATTACTGTAATTAATTTGACCACTGACCTTTTGGCCGTCCAAATTTTGACTATAATCTCGTGACGCAGAAATGAATCACAACAGTGACATGCACATGATAAATATTAAAACATGAAGACAGAGTCACAAGGTTCCCTCTTGAATAACAACAAGCAAATTTAACTACCTAAAAGCAAATTATACTACCTACTTTAAAGTCACATGGTGTTTAAATTCATTTATAAGCGTTATTATTATATACGTTTACATCTATTATACCTATAAGACTATTTACAACTTTATAGTTTTGTATACTCCATTAATACCATATAAATATTTAAAATGGTAACGAAAGTCTGAAGCGAGCACAACATAGCTGCAAAACTGGGCTCATTCACATTAACTTATGACAAAAATACAATTAAAAGACATCAATCATTCTGGTGTTTCTCAATTTCTGAAGAAAATCAATAATTCAACATAAACCACTTCCAGTCCCCCCTCTTTTTCCAAATCCCGTTCTAAATGTGCGGTAAATTAAATCAGTCGTAAATTAAAGAAGTTTTTGGTTACACCTTGCCAACTAATCAGATCAGCGTTTTTTGGTCACATGTTTTATCTTTCCGTCCCGTGAGAACTGAGAGTGTGTTCATTGTTCATTCCAGTAATATTATTCTGTGTTTAGTTTTTTGCTGGTTCATCAGTTCATTTTAGAACTGAGTGTACTTTTATTGATGTTTTGTAGAGTACGATGTAATGATGATTATTGTAAAGAATGTGTCAAGGATTTTACTGTACAGTGTAGATAATATAATATATAATATGTTAATACGATCTAGTGAATATGCAACGTGTCGCTATAAAATGGATTTATATAAATAATGATAATACTAATATTACTGTAAAGGACCGTTTACATATTATAACTTAAGCCAGTCTAAGGAGGAGGAGGGGTTTAAAAAAGTAATTTCTACGCAATAGTTATATTGTGTAAAGTTTGTTACAGAGAGGGAGGGGACCTAAGATGGCCAAAATATGGCTTACTAAATATTTGAAAAATCCCTAATGGATTTATATAAATATAAATATTACTGATATTGAAGCAATGGATTTGCTTCCCGAATAATGATAATATATTTGCTTCGAATCGAATATGTAATATTTATAATATATAACGTAAAGCTCAGTGTTGACCACTATTTGTACATTACATAATTTGTAAGTAGCTATCACATGCATGTTGATCGTGACATGATGGTCAAACTTTTTATTGGCACAAACACGGACATGTTGTTATAATAAGTTCTGCGGAGTGAGTTCTGCGGAGTAATAAGGGGTGATGAGTTTTTACTATATTTGTCCTACAGTTCCTGTTTTTCTGGGGAAATATTTCAGAGCGCATGATTTTTTAAAGTAATCAAAAATTTATGATGACTGGTTGTTGGTTATCTTAGCGCACGTTTTTACTAATAAGTAATATGTTGAATATTTTGTGTAATGTGTATAGGTACTCAAGGTACAACTTACACTCAATTCTTTTGATAAACAAAAATATTGATTGATTGAGGAGCACTACCCAGAGGCATTACTCGGCACTAACGCCTTAAAATCTTTAATTGCAATCAAATAAAGTGTTGTTCTCAATAATTGTTCAAGGGTCGACCGAGTCCTCGGCCTCGGCCTCGGTTTTACCGAGGAATGGCGATTTTTCCTCGGTCAGGAGGACAATTCCTCGGTTCGCCTCGGCCTCGGTGAAAAATAGATTCGAAATTCCTCGGCCTCGGCGAAATTTGACGATTTTACCGAGGATTTGACCGAGGATTTTTGTTGAAATTTTGGGAATTTTTCTACAGACTTACAGAGGTTAATGTAAACGAATTTGTAAAATTGAAAATAAAACGACCAATTGACCAGGACACAAAACTAAAAATATCATAGTCTAAGATTCATCGTCTGATGAAATGACAATATCTGAGCACTCTGAATCAGAATAATCTTCTGTGCACAGCTCAGAAGGGGGACAGTCCTCTTTATTTGGGGCTTCAAATTCATTTGGACAGGGGCCGAAGTCGTCCCCAAATGTTCCGATGTTCTTTTTGAGAAACAAGCACCCCTCAAAGTTTGTTGGCTTAAGGCTGAGGCGATTTAACTTCAGGATGTGCCCTGCTGTAGAAAACAATCTCTCTGGTGCTGCTGAGCTCGCCGGCGCAGATAGATATTTCTTTGAACACTCAGCAAGGTTCGGATAGCTCTGCTTATTAGCTTTCCAGTAAACTAATGGTTGAAATGATAAATCAACTCGAGAGTCTTTTAAGTATCTGTTAGCTTCCTTCCTTATCTTCTCACTATTTTCTTCGAATTCATCGTCTAGGTACAGTGCGCTTTTCCTAATAAACAATGCCCTTTTTCCCAACAATTTTTCTGCCAAAATTCCTCGGCCTCGGCCTCGGTCAAAATTTGCACTCCTCGGCCTCGGCCTCGGCCTCGGTAAAAAAAAAGAAACCTCGGTTGTCTTCGGCCTCGGTCTTAACTAACTGTATTTTCCTCGGCCTCGGTCGAAAATCCTGCCCTCGGTCGACCCCTGTAATTGTTGGCAATTTAATTGTAATTATAAAGAAAATTATAATATATATTATTTCAGTTAATTCTCATCCGTAATTATTTCTCTTTAAACAAATTTTCTCATCAAGCATCAAATTATGATGGTGAACCGACGCAAATAAGCACTTAGCAGACTGATCGAAAACGGTCCACTGACCGACGAACATACTGACCGACGAACATATTGACAAACGCACATATTGACCGACGAACATATTGACCGACGACAATCTACCGATAAGCTAACAAACTGACACACGGAAAGATTTTACAACAATGCACACCGATCAGCAAACTATTAAATCGCTGCAAATATAATGAAAACTTTGTTATTTTTCATCACTTTAATCTATTATAGCTGGTCTTATCGTGACTCCAGAATGCCGTAAGTGTACAGTGTGTTCTGAAAGTTTCTAGAAGTTTCTAGAAGGATCTAGAAGGATCTAGAAGTGAAGGGCAAACAGAAAATATTTAAAAACTGTTACAAAATAATATTCGACTTTTATGATTTCAAGAGGCACTAGTTGCCGATTTTTTAGTGTCCCAATTATTTTAATACATGACGTCACGTGACATTGTTTCCTCGTCTCAGGAACACGAAAGATATCCCCGATTACTACCAGATGGGCCCGGGGACCTTAAAGATCCCTAATGCCCTTTTCAAGGACAACCGAAAACGGGTAAGCCAACTGCCAAGTAACCTTCTCTCATTGCCTATTTCATGAGCCTCATTGCCTATTCTGAATTACTCTGAACCAGGGACAAAATGAAATCGCGGCATGTGCGGGATCGCGATTTTTCCCATTTTTTTGCGACAAATTTTATATGTCGCGGTATCGCGATTTTTGGCCAAAATAATCACTATTTTCTTTTGTCCCTGCTCTGAACTGTTTTAGGCATTTTTTGGCTAGTCTGTTTACATTTATAAAACTCAGATCTGTGACCAACACATTTACATTTATAAAACTCAGATCTGTGACCATCACATTTACATTTATAAAACTCAGATCTGTGACAAACACATTTACATTTATAAAACTCAGATCTGTGACCAACACGTTTACATTTATAAAACTCAGATCTGTGACCGACTGGTATCTAAGAATGTACCCCGGGGAGCTGTTATGTTATTTGAAGGAGGAATACAGGAACAACAGTACGATACTGATAGAGACATAGAGTTCCAACAGGTTTAATTTACTTTAATTAATTATTTATTAATTACCGTAATTAATTAAATTTGATTTACTACCAAGTTCAGCTCTTCTGTACAAGTCTACTAACCTAAATTTGATAATCTTTGTTAAAATTGTGTTAAAATTTCAACTTCTAAAATGTCAGGAATCCTACTAACCTATTTGATATCTTTGTTAAAATTGTGTTAAAATTTCAACTTCTAAAATGTCAGGAATCCTACTAACCTATTTGATATCTTTGTTAAAATTGTGTTAAAATTTCAACTTCTAAAATGTCAGGAGTCCTACTTCATGTGGTTGTTCGGTGTGATGGAGGCTGACTTCTACGGAGCTGTAGATGTTGATAACTGTGAGAGTATTCTCTTTATGCCTCGTCTTCCTGCTTCCTACGCCGTCTGGATGGGCGAGTCAGTATTTTTATTTAGCAGTTTATAATTGCGAGTCAGTATTTTTATTTAGCAGTTTATATTTGCGAGTCAGTATTTTTATTTAGCAGTTTATATTTGCGAGTCAGTATTTTTATTTAGCAGTTTATATTTGCGAGTCAGTATTTTTATTTAGCAGTTTATATTTGCGAGTCAGTATTTTTATTTAGCAGTTTATATTTGCGAGTCAGTATTTTTATTTAGCAGTTTATATTTGCGAGTCAGTATTTTTATTTAGCAGTTTATATTTGCGGTCTATAAAGTTGTGGATTCTAATAATGAATAGTCTATTTAACTATAAACTATAAACCAACCCTAGAGGCTGTTCTCCCCCAGACTAAAAACACCAGAGTACTTCAAGACACGGTACGGAGTAGACAGGGTTCACTACTCAGACGAGATAGTCACAATCCTCAACCAGCTCAGACCCTCTGCTCTTCTTATCATGGACGGGACCAACAGTGATAGCAAGAGCCATTTCCAGGCTCCCAGCTTCGAGGGCATGGACCAGTGAGTGTTTTGTTATTTTCTTAGGTGATCGCACCACGTGACTTCATCAATCATCATACCACGTGACGTCATCATACCACGTGACTTCGTCGGGTCTCGGTCCATCAATGAAGAATCACGATTATTTCTTAAATAATTTACTTAATTTAATACTTTATTATCGGTGATTGATCGCAACTGTGTACTAAGGTCTGCTCATGCAACATAAATAGAGATTTGAATTCTTTATTTTGTAGGTTCAAGGTGGACACAACTACGCTATACAACGAGATCGCAGACTGGTGAGTTACTATAAAATCAGTTATAAAGCAATGAAAGGCATTAGTTTGGTCAAATCAAACAGAACATATATGCTATCAGACTTTCATGTTACAGTTTCTTGTCATCATCTATCTATCTATGATCTAGCTCCGTTATATAAATTGTATGGATTTTTATTTGCCGATAACGATAAAAGTTTTGTATAACTATAAGTATTCCCTAATCGATACTTTTTATACCGCATCAAAAAAATCAATCACAACCAAAGTTATGGATAGTCCTGGCGTAAAATGTAATGTGAGCTAGTTATGACGTTTCATAGAGCACGGCAACGCACGTTGCTAATTATCTGTTCTTGCTCGCGCATGTGCAATCTCTTGATGTTGCTAAGCAATGACGCAGGTAACCTTCGATGAAATTACGCCATTATTTGAACGTTATTTTTTTCCTCATATCACTTCCGACGTTAATTATAGAAAATCTAAAGCCTTAATCAAAATTCTAAGAATGCTATATCCTTTTCCTATCCTTTTTTACGACCCTGCTAAACATGGTGAGGTTTCAACTCCATTTGCGAGCTGAAATTGGCCACGCCAGATGGTCGGTTTTTGGTCGATTTTCAGTGTTTTTTTCTGTCCCCGTTGCCGGGGGGATTTTGTCAAGTTTAAAATATAATAAAGATAAACTATCTATACTCAGGGTGTCCACTGTCCAAGGACATCACATTTCATACATTTTGAGAAACATCAGATTTTTTTAACAAAGAAATTAAAAATTGCCAAAAAGGGTAAAAACAACAGAATTTTTGCCGATCACCGCATAAAATACCTTTTTTTCCAAATAAAAATCGGCGCCTGCGGCTGGCATCCGTCCGGCTGAATCTTCGGTCTCCAGTGATCATCAAGTCTCATTGAGGCCCTGCCATGCAGGCCTTGAGCAGAATATGAAACCTTGTATTGCTGTGTACATTTGACTCTTAATTCTAATTCTCTTCAGTCGAGTACAGAAGAGTCCAGGTGAGATGGAGATAATGAGGTATGTTAACGAGGTGAGCTGCGAGGCACACAAGGAGGTGATGAAGATGATGAAACCGGGCAGGATGGAGTATGAGGGCGAAGCGTGAGTTACTAGTTTAGGAGCATCTAGCTTAACTGTCTTTCTGTGATTAATGTTTTAAGAACGCTTAAATTATATATGTATATATTATATTATGTATATATTATATTATGTATATATTATATGTATATATTATATTATGTATATATTATATGTATATATTATATTATGTATACATTATGATGATCAAATGAATTTTACTTGATAGAGTGCTTATCTAAAATGGTTTACAGGCTCTAAAGATGTAGTTTATTTACGAAGGATTCAAGCCTAACATTGTGTGTTTCCCTTCGTGTCTAAATACAATATGTATTATATATATATATATATTATTAGTTAGCCACAACTATCAGTAAAACAACGCCTTGACTTCAAATGTCGGTAAAATGTACCTTTACAGTCATCCTGATATAAAGACATGTTAAATTTATTCAAAATATCAATCCATCAATCAATCAAATAGAAGAAATTTAAAATTTAGAAATTTATGTAACTCAGCAATTCAAGTTATGGTGGGTTGAAATCCCAAATGAGTGGTAGAGGTGAGAAAATAAAATATGCAAGAAGAAAATCATCTTTCTTCTCTAACGTTCATCCCTCCAAAGTGCTTTAAAGTTTTAAGCTGGTTTTGCCAAAAGTTCTCCCTTTGTTTACAAATACTTAGTCTATCCTGGGCACATTGCTCAAAATTCCCAACGTCAACTTGCTCTATAATAGAAACATTAATGTCTTTACTTAAAGTACTGGTAAACAACTTAGTGGTTGTACGGTCAAGATTGTGCAAAATCTCATTATCTATAAAATGGCAGGAAAGTTCACAGGTCCTTCTTTGAGTTTTAATGTGGGATTTATGGTTCCTAAATCTAACCTTTAAAGAGTCTGAAGTACATCCTATATAACTTAACTTACAAATATTATCATTAACTATGTACACAACATTTTTGGTATCACAGTCCAATCGTCCTTTGATACTGAATACTTGGTTGGTGTGGAAACTGCCGATTGTGGTTGATGGTTTCAGGAAGTTTTTGCAGAGATCACATTTCTTAGCACAAGGGAAGCAACCTCCAGAATCAGAATCCTCAGCTGTGTCTGGAGAGGCGTGGCCTGGATCTTCTACAGCTGGCTCTTCAACAGGAGGGAGTTTGCTATGAATAAGAATCTCATGAAGTGTTTTTGTCCCTCTAAAAGAGGTGAAAATACCATCAGGGTCAATCACCTTGCAAAGCTCGAGATCTAGACGGAGGATGTGCTTGTGGGAGTTAAGTATCCGTCCTATGTTGGGGAGACCTGGGTTGAAATCTGTTACAAGGGGAATGAGTCTCCCTTTGCTACTGTCATCCTCCTTATGTCTCTGTTGTTGATAGTAGGAGAGCCTGCTCTTGGTTTCCACTTTATTAAAGGCCTGGTTAATTAAGCTATTGCTATAACCTCTTGCCACAAGATAGCTTGTGTATTGTGCTCGTGCTTGTATGTACTCATCATGCTCAGAAGTAAGTTTAAAGATTCTAAGTGCAGTGCTATAAGGTATGTTTTTTATGGTATGTGTAGGATGGCAAGAGGTGGGAACTAGGAAGGCATGGTCATCACATGGCTTACTGTAAGGTTTGGTATGTAGTTGGCCTGCTTTCATGTATATAAAAGTGTCTAAGAATTCAGTGCCCTCTAATGAAGCTTTCAACGTGAATTTTATGCCTGGCATTCTAGAATTGAGCCATAAGTGGAATTCCTCGAGCATTTCCTGTCCATGGGTCCAAGGGACATACACATCATCGCGGTATCTGGCCCATAGGAGAGGAGGGTGGCTCCAAGTCCCTTCCATGACATCTCTGTCTATCTTGTCGATGGCTGTATCTGCGTAAGCACAAGCGTTCTTTGGTCCCATTGCAGTTCCTTTTTTCTGCTTGTATATGACACCTTCAAACTCTGTTATGTTGTTGTCTAGAGTTGTCTCTAAGGCATCTATTATACAATCTGTAGAGAGTATTGGGTCCTCTCTCTTGTCCAAATGGAGCCTACATTGTTCCAATCCTACCTCCTTTTGGATACTCGGGAACATAGCCTCTATGTCAAAGGATGCGTGAATAACTGTCTTGCCCTCAAGGGATTTAGAGTTATTCAAGTCATCGAGTTTTCTTAGTATATGATTATTGTCCTGGATGGCATATTTTAGATCAACCTTAGTAAGCTCATACGCTGTAAGTGCAGAGAGATTCTTGATTGCTGATGCGCATCCTGTGCTAATCATACGACCAGGGTAGTTCTTCTCTGGCTTGTGTGCTTTGGCTTGTGTGCTTGGGGTTGACATAGTTGTTCCCGGGCTTACAAAAGTCATCAGGTGTAACCCACCTATATATATGTATATTATTATATTGCCTAGCTTATGGCCTAAAACTGATTCTTCTTAATTCAGGACTTTCAAGCACTACGCTTACATGAAGGGAGGAATGAGATTTGTTGGCTACACTTGCATTTGTGCTAGGTTGGTAACTTTATCAGAGGGTCATTTCCCTTTTTCATGATTCTATTTAGATTACAGTTTATGTTGTTAAGTTTCTCAATTATTTTCATTTACACTTTGGAGAAATTACAACGTATTTCTTTACAGATTATACGATTTTTACAGTATTAGTTTAATGATGGTTCCTGAAATTAATAGGTTACCATTACCACCTCAACATAGAAGATCCATTTTAAGATCCATTTAACCGTATGTTGTTACAATTTTGTTACAATGTTGTTACAATGTTGTTACAATATGTTGTTACAGTGGCCAAAACGCAGCTGTGTTACACTACGGACACGCAGCCGAACCAAACGACAAACGTGTTAACAACGGTGACATGCTGTAAGTGTATTTGTTCACTGACTTTGTAATGTGTATATATATAATATAGATTTTTTTAAATTAAATACTTTTCAAATTTTACAGAGTACAGCAATAAATGAATATAAAATAGAATCGTTCAAAACATCGCCCCCATCTGTAAAATATGATGGGCACCCAAACACGGTAAACACATAGTGAACTATGTCCGCAATTACTTGGACCCAATACATCGAATTAATCTAAATCCACAAATTTATGAAAAACTATTTAATAAAAAACAAATCCATGGTGAATAACTGTGGATATAGAGTTAAAATTGGTATTTCAATACGTCGAATATAATCTGAAACTATTTTCTAACCAAAGAAGAGTACCTTCCTGGCTTATTTCTTTCTTTAAAAAAGTTCCAATTGCTGAAATCCCCCCGATTGACCCTAACAAGCCTTTTCCCAATCCCTCAGTTTGTACGACATGGGAGCTGAGTACGCTGGTTACACAGCTGACATAACCGCCTCATTTCCTGCTAACGGCCGTTTTACAGAAAGCCAGAAGTTTGTTTACAATACCTGTTTGAAAGCTAACAGGGCTGTCCTGGCTGCTATGAGACCAGGTTCGTTTATTTTGGGATCTTGTCTCTCATGTCAGGTGAAAAATATTCCAAAGGCCAGCTGCCAGAGTGAGGCATAATACGAAAGCGAGGAACTTGGGTGAAGACCGTTGAACTGGTATGATTATTTCTGGAACGCGCGGAAAATCAGAACATCAACGTGATTTCTTGGCGCAATAAAGCAATTATTCGAATTAATTAATATAATTTAATCCACTCGCACGCGCGGCCTGTTTGGGGTGTTCAGATATATTATACAAGCAGTCTAGTCGTTGAAATTTCCGTTTACAGATTTGTTCACTACCGGATCAAGGAGGCGCTCCAAAATTCCAATCTATACTAAGCTCAATAGTCCTTCTTTCAAGATTTTTGATGATTCCCGGCACCAGCCTTTTTGGCTGTTAGCCTCCCTCCTGTTAGCCTCCCCTCGCTGTTAGCCTCCCTCCTGTTAGTCTCCCTCCTGTTAGCCTCCCTCCTGTTAGCCTCCCTCGCTGTTAGCCTCCCTCGCTGTTAGCCTCCCTCCTGTTAGCCTCCCTCCTGTTAGCCTCCTTCACTATTAGTCTCCCTCCTGTTAGCCTCCCCTCGCTGTTAGCCTCCCTCCTGTTAGTCTCCCTCCTGTTAGCCTCCCTCCTGTTAGCCTCCCTCGCTGTTAGCCTCCCTCCTGTTAGCCTCCCTCCTGTTAGCCTCCCTCCTGTTAGCCTCCCTCCTGTTAGCCTCCCTCGCTGTTAGCCTCCTTCACTATTAGTCTCCCTCCTGTTAGCCTCCCTCCTGTTAGCCTCCTTCACTATTAGTCTCCCTCCTGTTAGCCTCCCTCCTGTTAGCCTCCCTCCTGTTAGCCTCCCTCCTGTTAGCCTCCCTCCTATTAGCCTCCTTCCTGTTAGCCTCCCCTCGCTGTTAGCCTCCCTCCTGTTAGCCTCCCTCCTGTTAGCCTCCCTCGCTGTTAGCCTCCCTCACTGTTAGCCTCCCTCCTGTTAGCCTCCCTCGCTGTTAGCCTCCCTCCTGTTAGCCTCCCTCCTGTTAGCCTCCCTCCTGTTAGCCTCCCTCCTGTTAGCCTCCCTCCTGTTAGCCTCCCTCCTGTTAGCCTCCCTCCTGTTAGCCTCCCTCCTGTTAGCCTCCCTCCTGTTAGCCTCCCTCCTGTTAGCCTCCCTCCTGTTAGCCTCCCTCCTGTTAGCCTCCCTCGCTGTTAGCCTCCCTCGCTGTTAGCCTCCCTCCTGTTAGCCTCCCTCCTGTTAGCCTCCCTCCTGTTAGCCTCCCTCCTGTTAGCCTCCCTCGCTGTTAGCCTCCCCTCGCTGTTAGCCTCCCTCCTGTTAGCCTCCCTCGCTGTTAGCCTCCCTCGCTGTTAGCCTCCCTCCTGTGAGCCTCCCTCCTGTTAGCCTCCCTCCTGTTAGCCTCCCTCCTGTTAGCCTCCCTCCTGTTAGCCTCCCTCCTGTTAGCCTCCCTCCTGTTAGCCTCCCTCCTGTTAGCCTCCCTCCTGTTAGCCTCCCTCCTGTTAGCCTCCCTCCTGTTAGCCTCCCCTCGCTGTTAGCCTCCCTCCTGTTAGCCTCCCTCCTGTTAGCCTCCCTCGCTGTTAGCCTCCCTCCTGTTAGCCTCCCTCGCTGTTAGCCTCCCTCCTGTTAGCCTCCCTCCTGTTAGCCTCCCTCCTGTTAGCCTCCCTCGCTGTTAGCCTCCTTCACTATTAGTCTCCCTCCTGTTAGCCTCCCTCCTGTTAGCCTCCTTCACTATTAGCCTCCCTCCTGTTAGCCTCCCTCCTGTTAGCCTCCCTCCTGTTAGCCTCCCTCCTGTTAGCCTCCCTCCTGTTAGCCTCCCTCCTGTTAGCCTCCCTCCTGTTAGCCTCCCTCCTGTTAGCCTCCCTCCTGTTAGCCTCCCTCGCTGTTAGCCTCCCCTCGCTGTTAGCCTCCCTCCTGTTAGCCTCCCTCCTGTTAGCCTCCCTCCTGTTAGCCTCCCTCCTGTTAGCCTCCCTCCTGTTAGCCTCCCTCCTGTTAGCCTCCCTCGCTGTTAGCCTCCCCTCGCTGTTAGCCTCCCTCCTGTTAGCGTCCCTCGCTGTTAGCCTCCCTCGCTGTTAGCCTCCCTCCTGTGAGCCTCCCTCCTGTTAGCCTCCCTCCTGTTAGCCTCCCTCCTGTTAGCCTCCCTCCTATTAGCCTCCCTCCTGTTAGCCTCCCCTCGCTGTTAGCCTCCCTCCTCTTAGCCTCCCTCCTGTTAGCCTCCCTCGCTGTTAGCCTCCCTCCTGTTAGCCTCCCTCGCTGTTAGCCTCCCTCCTGTTAGCCTCCCTCCTGTTAGCCTCCCTCCTGTTAGCCTCCCTCCTGTTAGCCTCCCTCCTGTTAGCCTCCCTCCTGTTAGCCTCCCTCCTGTTAGCCTCCCTCCTGTTAGCCTCCCCTCGCTGTTAGCCTCCCTCCTGTTAGCCTCCCTCCTGTTAGCCTCCCTCCTGTTAGCCTTCCTCGCTGTTAGCCTCCCTCCTGTTAGCCTCCCTCCTGTTAGCCTCCCTCCTGTTAGCCTCCCTCCTGTTAGCCTCCCTCGCTGTTAGCCTCCCTCGCTGTTAGCCTCCCTCCTGTTAGCCTCCCCTCGCTGTTAGCCTCCCCTCGCTGTTAGCCTCCCTCGCTGTTAGCCTCCCTCGCTGTTAGCCTCCCTCGCTGTTAGCCTCCCTCCTGTTAGCCTCCCCTGCCACTTCTTGAGTAGTCCCCTCCTTGAAAAGCCATTAATTATTATTGAAATAAGTTCGTTACGAGTGAAGCTTTTATCAAAATAATCTGCTTATTTGTAGTAAAAGTCGATCTAACAATGGCACAAACTTGAAGACATATCGAATATAGGAAGAATATGGTTTGCAGTTCACCTGAGACAGTGAGACAGTGAGACAAGCTTATTATATGTACTTTACCCACATAATCCCCGACTTTATACATTGTAGTGACCACTTCAAAGCTAAATGATTCAGGAAGTTGCTCTAACTGTGTGAACTTTATCTCTACTGTGTCAAGAATTGGATGAAAAGGCAGATGATCGGCTTGGCTCGCGTCCAAACGAATGTCTTTGACGTAATTCGTGGCAACGTTTGGGATCATCCAGACTGGATAAAAAATCAGTTTAATTGATATATACAGTAGAACATCGGGAATCTCAATATTTCGGGTCTCTTCTTAGCCCAACCATCCGCTATTGAACCTAGGATCCGAACCAAAGGCAAAAGACCTAGCATGTTACTTAACTATCCGAGACCGGGGTTTCAATGGTAAGAACAGCTGAGAATGAGCAGACATAAATTGTAACTGGGGGAATTGCTCATCGTGCACTTGAATTATTCAGAATATCTATCCGAGAAAATACCATTGCTGAGTCACGTGAATTGATTCCATGTCCGTTATGGGACCCTTAGGAGGCCGAGTACTATGCTCCATATTACAATATGCTCCCCCAGTTACAATTTATGTCTGCTCATTCTCAGCTGTTCTTACCATTGAAACCCCGGTCTTGGATAGTTAAGTAACATGCTAGGTCTTTTGCCTTTGGTTCGGATCCTAGTTACCATGAATAATACATGATAACCAGGTTTTGTGTTAGCAAATTTTCCCGGGATACATTTTTGCGTTAACATGGCACTAGTGATTTGTTAAATAAAGAAGTGATCTTTGAGCACTCGGCTGCTGGGCGAAGAATTTGATTGAATTGAATTAAATAATCCCTCTTAACAAAAGCAAAGAAGGTGGTCCTTTGATATGCTCGGAGCCTAGTGGAAACTTTTGCAGGGAGACTTTTAGAGTCTTATCACCAAAATGTACAAATCAAATTTCTGTGAATAGCCCGGAATAAAATTGCACTTGCAAGAAGTAGGACTTTTTAAATTTATGCTCGGTAAATTTCCTGTAATGAGACCAACTTTTATTCAATTATTCAGCTCAATAAGGTACGACCGGAGAGATTTCGTCAAGTTTAAAATATAGTGTAGAGATAAATATGAATTAATAATTAATGAATAATAATTAATGGATAATAATGAATAATAATGATAATTATTAATTAATCAATAATGATAATAATTCATAATTTGTATCAAATTGCAGGTGTCTCGTGGCCAGATATGCACCGACTGGCTGAGAAGACAATAGTGGAGGAGTTCATCAAAGAGGGGCTGCTTGTGAACGGTAAGATAAGGGGGCAGGGGGGTCCAACGGTAAGATTAGGGGGGGGGGGGCAGGGTCCATCGGTAAAATTATGGGTGAGGGTACATCGGTAAGATTATGGGGTAGGGTCCATCGGTAAGATTATGGGTCAGGGTACATCGGTAAGATTAGGGGGTAGGGTCCATCGGTAAGATTATGGGGCAGGGTACATCGGAAAGATTAGGGGGTAGTGTCCATCGGTAAGATTAGGGGGTAGGGTTCATCGGTAAGATTATGGGGCAGGGTACATCGGAAAGATTAGGGGGTAGGGTCCATCGGAAAGATTAGGGGGTAGGGTCCATCGGAAAGATTAGGGGGTAGGGTTCATCGGTAAGATTAGGGGGTAGGGTTCATCGGTAAGATTATGGGGCAGGGTACATCGGAAAGATTAGGGGGTAGGGTCCATCGGTAAGATTAGGGGGTAGGGTTCATCGGTAAGATTATGGGGTAGGGTCCATCGGTAAGATTATGGGGTAGGGTCCATCGGTAAGATTATGGGGTAGGGTCCATCGGTAAGATTAGGGGGTAGGGTCCATCGGTAAGATTATGGGGCAGGGTACATCGGTAAGATTAGGGGACAGGGGGGTCCAACCGTAAATTAATAATATGTTAAGAGTTTTCTAAAACTGGTTATTGTTTGTATATAATTATAAAAATTCAATCACGTTTGTCTCTCAGCAAGTAGTCCGCCCATAAAGCCTCCTTTTTTAGCTTCTATTTTGAGATCCTGTTTTTGAACCTCCTTTTTTGAGCCTCAGTTTTTAACTTGTCACAATTTCAGGCACAGTAGAGGAGATGACGGAAGCGTATATGGGGGCTATCTTCATGCCTCACGGTCTTGGTCATCTCATTGGACTTGATGTACACGATGTTGGTATGTTCTAGAAACTTCCATTTTATCTACAAGAGAAATTAATCACCCAATTTTCACTCTTCGTCTTGAAAATATGTCATCCCCCATTATTATACGGTAAATATAATGCAATCTTTTAATATCAGTAATATCAGTAACGTCACGTGAAATTATTATGATATCACGTGTTGATGATATCACGTGACATGTTTATGATATCACGTGTTGATGATATCACGTGACATGTTGACGATATCACGTGTTTATGATATCACGTGTTGATGATATCACGTGACATGTTTATGATATCACGTGTTTATGATATCACGTGTTTATGATATCACGTATTTATGATATCACGTATTTATGATATCACGTGACATGTTTATGATATCACGTATTTATGATATCACGTGTTGATGATATCACGTGACATGTTTATGATATCACGTGTTTATGATATCACGTGACATGTTGATGATATCACGTGACATTACCAGGTGGATACGTGAACGCTCCACCTCGCATCCAGGAACCTGGTATAAAGTATCTGAGAACGACCCGTAACTTGGAGGAGGGAATGGTCATTACTGTTGAGCCAGGGGTTTACTTTGGTGATGCTGTAAGTCTCGATGCTTGAACTGATTTTTCTTCTAGTTCTACCTTATTTATCAACCTTAAATTCATTTTGTAAATAATGTGTCATATCTTCAGTTAATCGAAGCAGCTTACGCTAATCCTGACCAAGCGAAATATATGAACAAGGAAAAGATTGAGCCGTATAGGGGCACTGGAGGGGTAAGTTATTACTTTTATAGGGCACTGGAGGGGCAAGTAATCGCTTTTATAGGGGCACTGGAGGGGCAAGTAATCACTTTTATAGGGGCACTGGAGGGGCAAGTAATCACTTTTATAGGGGCACTGGAGGGGCAAGTAATCACTTTTATAGGGGCACTGGAGGGGTAAGTAATCACTTTTATAGGGGCACTGGAGGGGTAAGTAATCACTATTATCTTCTGACCCCTCTGACCTGTTCAAAAAACGTACCATCAAGTATCTCAAACGTACAATAGAATATAAAATGATAAAACGATAATATAAAATGATAATAATAATTTAACGTGTTCAATGTTTAAGGTACGAATAGAAGACGGAGTAGCGGTAACGGCTGACGGAACTGAACTGCTCTCCCACAACATACCCCGGACAGTAGAGGAAATAGAGGAGTTCATGAACAGGTCAAATTAGAAGGGGGTGCTGTGACGTCATTATCAGGGGTGCTGTGACGTCATTATCAGACCATTTGACATTGTAGATTTCGGGATTATATGAAGACCGCAATATTAATTGTTTGCTGAATATTTAGTTCTCTGATTAATATCGCTTGAATTTTTTGCTTACACACTAATTAAGTTTTTATATGATCAAATGATTCATAGTTATGGAATTGGAACCTTTGAATGAATCCTTTCTTTGGTATTATCAAGCTTTGACTTTTAGGCCTTTTCTTGTTAAAAATATTCGTTGTTCATTTCTTCTATTGAACTTTTGTGTTCTGGGGGATAGAGAGAGAAGCGGGCCATAGATCAGCCAACTGGGTAAAGTTTTGACTAGAAGTTTCAATAAATATTATCCTGATCTATACCCAATTTTAAATATTCAAAATACAATAACTGTGGATTATTGTATACGGTCATTACGGTGCGGCGCGGTGCTGCTACTACTTTTATTTACTTTTAGTTTGAGGTTGTTCAGTTCAACATTTTTAACCGGACATTAACCTGATATGATATATCAGGTTCTAATGTACCGTCACTATAGTGACTTTAATATATTATGTAATGATCATTTACAATTTATTCATACTATTTTTACCAAAACACAGCTACAAACCGCGTTTTACTGATATGTAAGTTCAAAACGGTTTTACATAAACCCTAATCCCAACCCTAACCATAACCCCGAAGCTATCCATAACCCTTATGTTATGTCCTGCCTAATTTAGCCACCATAGGTATTAAGTCTAGTCCTAAAAACACAGTATCTTAAAATACTCGGCAATTCCCAGACATTCCATCTTCTATTTCTTGGTTAATTATAGAATCTTGGTTGATTCTATAATTCTCTTGGTTGATTCTATTATCGTATATTGTCGGATTAAATTATATGTATTTGAATTTGATTCTTACCTAAAGACGTCACCTGACCGTCCTGCAACCCATACTTCCAAACAGATAACCTTTTTACCTTGGAAACCTGAGATAACGCAGAGATAACACTAAATGAGCCTCCTACAAGAAGATAACCACAGACTGGGGGACGCCGTACTCACACTATATAACGGCTCGTCGTAGCAAGTCAAATGGGGATTTTTCCGCAACTCTCGGATATGCTGACACTTGCTCACACTTCCTAATACCAGAGCTACCCCTAACCCTACCAACCCCTAAACTGACTAATACCCTCGGTGACTCCTTCCCCCTAAGGATCCGTGTCTCACATATTCCCTAAAAGGTACGTCTGAGAGCTCGGGACCCCAATATAGATATTTATATGTAAAGTGGTCGTCATATTTAGGTAGTCATTTTAAGTTAGTTATTAAAATGCGTAGGCACATTTAGGTAGTTATCTTACAACAGTTATTATACATTATAATGTTATCGTTCCCCCATTTCAGGATTCGTTCCAAACCTACTATCTTCCTGACTTATAAGTCGCCATAGCCTTTAGTCCTCATAGTTGGTAAGACTTCGTAATCTATTCTTTTTTCTAGTCTCTCGTTGTTATTATTAATTACCTAAAACTAGCTCAACCAGTTATCTTGTTACGTTGTAGTCGTTATAGTTATCCTCAATCGTAATCATCGGGATCATTCAGGTTATCACTCAAGCTGCCCGATTATCTCTTCGTCCACCTTCGTCTACCTCGATGTCATGATCCTCCCTACTTCCTGCGTACTTGACGCCATCGTTGATTGGACATTTAAATAATTTCACCTGATATTACTACTTTTACGTTTTGTCGATATTGCATTATTATATTAAATTGATTACTACTATTAGTTCCATTTCGTTGCAACACCTATATACTCGTCTTTACTGCATCAACAACCAACTACAAATTAAACATCTAAACCTAAATTGAATCCTTAGAATACTTTCTGCATTTCCGGAGTCGTAGTTCGAACCCCGTCCCGTTAATTAACCTAATACTAGGCCACAACTACACCATTAGAATTAAAGGCATTGGCACTGACTCATGATTAAGGAGCCCTTATAAACTAAATAATAAATTGTAAGTCAGGCCGTGATTGAGACCGTGATTCAATGGCATATTCCTTGCAGCCGGGCCTGAGTACACAACATCTGTACTCAGCCGTTCTACCGCACCTTACAGCACCATATAGACAATTAAGAAAACGAACATCTCCATAATTAATATTAACCTTAAGTACACCCTAATCTAACTGTACATAAACGCATAATTAAAATAAACCCGGTCATAACATGTGGAGCCCTAAGCGCGACTCTGGAATTGCGAGGTATAATTCCCGGTCAAATTTAACTACAGTTGTTCATGAAGTAAAATGTTTTATTAATACGTATGGGCCACCTCAAGCTTCATGTCATTGTAATTGTGCTTACGTTTGATAGCTAGTAAATAACTAGCTCATGTTTTTTTTTGTAAATCTAAATTTCGTTATTGTATATTGTGTAAGCCATCTCAAGCTTATCGAAACCGAGTGCCTTACGTTGATAGCAGTTTATACCAACTGTTCCTGCGAACACGATAAGTATAACACAATTAAATTAATATCCATCTCATTGCCTATAGCGACTAGCAAGCCGTAACAGTTGTACCAACCGTCCATAGAATTGTGATCGTAATTCATTTATAACTTTAAAGAAATCGTGTTGGGGACCAACTTTTCACAAAAGATCTCTCTGTACAAATTTTGTAGCAAAATTTTCAAAAAATCTGGAAGAGACACCAAACCTTAGTTTGCTTGTTTTGTTAGTGCACCGTTAGTGCAATTTATTTATTTACATTGATATTAGTTGTTGCAGCCATCGCCATAAAATTATGAAGTCACAGCAGAGAAGTAGGTTGAAGAGATAATTGTTTAGTGTAGAAGTTGAAAAGTAATTATGAGATATCGTACGGGTAAGTTGTGATGATATATACGGCCGTATAATTGGGTAAAGATGGGAATGATGCGAGAGATGTATGATGTTACGAAATAATGAGATTATGTTTATATGAGATGTTGAAATGTGAGACAATTATATTATGGGGAGATATATTAAACTGCAGTATAAATTATTAGCCGGCTAAGGGATACGGGGTTCAGAAGATGTTGTGAAGTATTGGGAGGAGGTGCTATAATGGTTGTTGACAAGGTGTTAGTTTTAATTAGTAGATGGGCTTCTTATCTGTTATTTGAGTGTTGTGATACCGCCAAAAGCGCGCTTGGTGGTTAGAAACACTTCGGATTCAGTACGACCCTTCGAACTTTGAAACTAAGATTGGCAACATGATTTAGCGTAATAGGGTATGCGGACGTGAAGAAAAGAAGATATTTGAAGTATGATGATACAGAGGGAGATTTGATAAAGGGTTTGTTGTTTAAAAATAAAGATGATTTAGTGTAATAGGGTATGCGGACGTGAAGAAAAGAAGATATTTGAAGTATGATGATACAGAGGGAGATTTGATAAAGGGTTTGTTGTTTAAAAATAAAGATGATTTAGCGTAATAGGGTATGCGGACGTGAAGAAAAGAAGATAATTGAAGTATGATGATACAGAGGGAGATTTGATAAAGGGTTTGTTGTTTAAAAATAAAGATGATTTAGTGTAATAGGGTATGCGGACGTGAAGAAAAGAAGATATTTGAAGTATGATGATACAGAGGGAGATTTGATAAAGGGTTTGTTGTTTAAAAATAAAGATGATTTAGTGTAATAGGTTATGCGGACGTGAAGAAAAGAAGATATTTGAAGTATGATGATACAGAGGGAGATTTGATAAAGGGTTTGTTGTTTAAAAATAAAGATGATTTAGTGTAATAGGGTATGCGGACGTGAAGAAGAGAAGATATTTGAAATGAGATGAGACAGAAATGAGTTGATAAAGAAGTAATGTTGTTAAAGTTGGCATGGTGGAATCATGCTGGGAAATAGGAGATACAAATTTTGTTGAGTTTGGGGTAATTTACGTTGTGAAATATGGCTGGTGGCTGCACATTAATTACCGCATAAGGCATTCAGGAAAACTTTTGATTATGAATAAACTGAAATTAATTCGGCCTAAACAATTATCTAGAACTTAAAGAACATCACTTAATAGCTTAATTATAACCGTAACACACATTTATATTCTCTTGCCACATCGTTTGCTACTCGTTTGATGATTTGAATTTTTATTAAACCTTGATTAATAGTTATATTTTGTAAATAATAAGTCGCTAACGTAATTAAACTATTAGTATTAGGATTTTATTTTCCTCTTAGACTTCGAGTATGTGTTATTCGCTGTCTTTGCGTGCCTTAAAACAGTTAACCTCCGTAATGTCGTCTAATCATTGATAATACCCCAGCAAGTTGTTACACCTACTCTTATAAGGCCCGACCTGCTGAGAAAGTTCATTCGCCAGCAGTCTTTTGTTAATTCATAAATCCTGGGACGATACCCCAACATGCTTTACAGTTCAGCGACAGCCAGTCTTCTAAATGCTGATTTTCAATTTGTGATAGCAAACAGTTAGACATGATTCCTATGGCTGATTGTCTAAATCTAGGCAACAATTTCACTACCACTTCCAAAAGAGCAGTGTTCTCTTATTTTCAACTAACACAATGTATTGAAAACCTCCGAAATAGTGACGTATACATCTCCTCACCTTCAGGTCTCCTAGTTCAACAACAATCAAAATAGTATATGACCAGCCAAAACACCAGCTAGACCTTTATGTGTCGGCACTGATGAAAACTGTCGCAACCCCAGAATCCGGCGCTATGTTTATACCCTGGCATATAAACATATCTGCTGTAACGTTTTCGAAGGCCGTGGTATACTCCCCTGTAAATGCAAATAACAAAGTTCAACTAACGGTATCCTCTGATGAAAGAGCCACTAGGTTCGACCTCTACTCACTCTTTTCAATACCCTCAGAAGGCACAATACGAATTACGCAATTATTAGAAGAGCAGCAGAAGCGAATTCAAAATTTAGAAAATGGGGTAAAACCAACGGTTAACTCTGTAAAAGAGTGGGCCACACAAGCCTTTACCCTCCCAACATGGCTTCGAATTATCATTTATGCAGCTTTTGCTATAGGGACATTGACTATTTGTCACTTGTTGTTCAAAAAGATTCGAAAAATGTTTCTGAAATCCAATCGCCCAGACATCAACCAATATGAACACCTAAACAGGCCGGCCCGTTTAATAGACAATACCCTGTACCCTAGATTGTCGCAGATCGGTGGGTCATCCCAATCGGGACCACCACCCCCTTTGCAAGGTCCCCCTCGGTAGTTAACATAATGTTCCCTCACCCTACCGTGCCTGGCTATCCAACCGCTCCGCTACCACCTACAGAGTAAGTACAGGTAAATATAAAAATTTAAAACAAAATATATAAAAATGATTACAAAACAAAATACAAAGATAAGTTTTATTAATTGTGTAAATCTATATGTTTATTTAATTCAAACAAATACTCAAGCACAAATCACTCATCAAATCCTTAAAGTAGTTTTAGTAGATGTTTTAATTTTAAAATAAGATTAGATTAAAGCATATTCATTTTAAGTAATGCCATACATTTTTATTCAAAGTGTTCGGCTCTTGTTATTTAGATGTAAGTTTTCATACTAGAAAGATATCTTTAAACACTATTGTGTGAACTGCAATCGAGTTGACTGCAGTTGGGTTGAGTCTAATAGAGATGGCTATGTGTCCATACTCTTTATTACTGTTATTATTATTATATGTTGTTATTTAGATGTTTTAATTTAGATGGGTTTTTAAAAAAATAAAAACTAGGCTGCTAGTTAGCTTCAATTTCAAGGTGGAATGCCTGGTGAGCGTGGGACCGCTCAAAAAGAAACCGAATGATGTTATGTCCTGCCTAATTTAGCCACCATAGGTATTAAGTCTAGTCCTAAAAACACAGTATCTTAAAATACTCGGCAATTCCCAGACATTCCATCTTCTATTTCTTGGTTAATTATAGAATCTTGGTTGATTCTATAATTCTCTTGGTTGATTCTATTGTCGTATATTGTCGGATTAAATTATATGTATTTGAATTTGATTCTTACCTAAAGACGTCACCTGACCGTCCTGCAACCCATACTTCCAAACAGATAACCTTTTTACCTTGGAAACCTGAGATACCGCAGAGATAACACTAAATGAGCCTCCTACAAGAAGATAACCACAGACTGGGGGACGCCGTACTCACACTATATAACGGCTCGTCGCAGCAAGTCAATGGGGGATTTTTCCGCAGCTCTCAGATATGCTGACACTTGCTCACACTTCCTAATACCAGAGATACCCCTAACCCTACCAACCCCTAAACTGACTAATACCCTCGGTGACTCCTTCCCCCTAAGGATCCGTGTCTCATATATTCCCTTAAAGGTACGTCTGAGAGCTCGGGATCCCAATATAGATATTTATATGTAAAGTTGTCGTCATATTTAGGTAGTCATCTTAAGTTAGTTATTAAAATGCGTAGGCACATTCAGGTAGTTATCTTACATCAGTTATTATACATTATAATGTTATCGTTCCCCCATTTCAGGATTCGTTCCAAACCTACTATCTTCCTGACTTATAAGTCGCCATAGCCTTTAGTCCTCATAGTTGGTAAGACTTCGTAATCTATTCTTTTTTCTAGTCTCTCGTTGTTATTATTAATTACCTAAAACTAGCTCAACCAGTTATCTTGTTACGTTGTAGTCGTTATAGTTATCCTCAATCGTAATCATCGGGATCATTCAGGTTATCACTCAAGCTGCCCGATTATCTCTTCGTCCACCTTCGTCTACCTCGATGTCATGATCCTCCCTACTTCCTGCGTACTTGACGCCATCGTTGATTGGACATTTAAATAATTTCACCTGATATTACTACTTTTACGTTTTGTCGATATTGCATTATTATATTAAATTGATTACTACTATTAGTTCCATTTCGTTGCAACACCTATATACTCGTCTTTACTGCATCAACAACCAACTACAAATTAAACATCTAAACCTAAATTGAATCCTTAGAATACTTTCTGCATTTCCGGAGTCGTAGTTCGAACCCCGTCCCGTTAATTAACCTAATACTAGGCCACAACTACACCATTAGAATTAAAGGCATTGGCACTGACTCATGATTAAGGAGCCCTTATAAACTAAATAATAAATTGTAAGTCAGGCCGTGATTGAGACCGTGATTCAATGGCATATTCCTTGCAGCCGGGCCTGAGTACACAACATCTGTACTCAGCCGTTCTACCGCACCTTACAGCACCATATAGACAATTAAGAAAACGAACATCTCCATAATTAATATTAATCTTAAGTAACCAGGCACAGTAAACTCCACACCCTAACCTAACTGTACATAAACGCATAATTAAAATAAACCCGGTCATAACACCTTACCACAACCCTAACTCTAACCCGAGCCCTAAACAATCGAATTCATGTTTTACTAGCCTGTCACGTGACCAAAACGGTTTTTTGCCCATATATAATATTACTCTCCAGGGAAGCATTTTTACCCTACGTCATTCGGGGGTGATTCGGAATCAGCGTCCAAAAATACACCGCGACCGATTCAGATCAATTTCATATCCAAAAGGCCTTTTCACAAGAATTTTCTTAAAATTTGGGCGAGCGATTTATAGTAGGAGGGGGGGCCAATGACTACTTTTGGGGACTTGGGGAATTACGTCAACGATTTTACCCCGAGTCCCCATGATTTTTAGTCCCCATTAGTCTCCATTAGTCCCCATTTAGATTTCAAAAAATCTGGCTTACTTGAAACCATAAATTTTTAGTCCCCATTAGTCCCCAAAAGTCTCCATTAGTCCCCATTTAGATTTCAAAAAATCTGGCTAACTTGAAAACCATAAATAACTGTCAAAAATTCTGGGGACTTATGGGGACAAATGGTGAATTACGTCAACGAGTTGACCTCTAGTCCCCATGATTTTTAGTCCCCATTAGTCCCCAAAAGTCTCCATTGGTAGTCATTGGCCCCACCCCAGTAGGAGCGGTAACATAATCAATAATGACATAATCAATAATGTCTGATAATTGGATATGCCTAAATTTTTAGGACAGCTTCCTGGTAAGTCCATCATTGATTGACGATGTCAACCCATCGAGATCGTTGCTCTGCGGAGCAGAGCAACGATCGACGCGACGATCGTCGAACAAGCATGATCGCAAGAATGCTAGTTCGCGTCGAAGCGGCGAAGTGCTCCAAGTCTATCAGTAAGCTTACCAATTTTTATTGAAATTGGATTGAGGCCAAGGAAAGTTACTCAAAGTCAATGTGCATTTGTTTGAAGAAATTTTTGCTGGCCGAAATTAGCGCTAAAGAACCATTCTACAGTCGGCACGCGCGGCTCACTTTACTGGCTGGCGATATTACTACATAGGTGGAAATGGAATTGCGTCTTCACAGCTTGCTGAACTCCGCGCGCGCTCGTTAGTTCATTGCATTTGCACGCTTCAATTATTCCAAGGATGCAATTGCACCGTACGTACCACGTGATACGATTTAGCCAATCAGAGAACAAGAATCCGCAAACGGCAAAGTTATAAAGCTGCACACTTTTATAAATATAAAGCCCAAAATAAGACTTTTCGCGATAGTTCAAAATCTACGTTGTTTTAAAATTTCCTCCTGGGGAGGAAACGTTATTTTTACAAGAAGGATATTTTGTTGAAAACCAGACGTTTCTATTTCTTTTATTTTCAAAACTAAGTTAGGCCCCTACTTACCTGAGGACCTCAGGCTTTAATGTTGTTAAATAGAGATTGGGTGGAATGACAGGCTGAGCGCGGCCCAGTAAGGCCCCTACCAGTAAGGTTTCCTGGGCCATAAAACCAACGCACAGTTTAATTAAAGACTTTCGCTTTCATTTTTAAAAGCTTCCACTTTGACAAAGCATAAATCACCACCAAATAAGTCAAATTTCAATTTTAAAATACCAAAAGAAACTAGAGAATTTTGTCAACACAAAAGGGATGTCTGGATAAGGTAGTAAAAACGCAATCTTCACCCTCAAAATCGACTTTTAAAATTTCATACTTTTCCCCGTCAAAATAAGCTTTATATCAAAATATCCCCTCCCCCCCTTTCTGAACTTCCTACACACCCCCCCCCCCCCCCCCCCCCCCCCTTTCGTGTGCTCTCTTTTCACTTCTTCTGCAGCATTCCTGAACCCTCGGCTCTCTCAGGCCATAAAACCAACGCGCAGTTTAAAGAATTTCGCTTTCATTTTTAAAAACCTTCCACTTTGACAAAGCATAAATTGTAGGTTTACAACCTACCAGGACGCGCGCCGAGTTGGACTCGTCGACGTACGGTCCTGTATATGGAACAAATATTTTACAGATATTTTACTGATATTTTACACATTACAAGTATCACCCGTTAAAGCATAAATCACCACCAAATAAGTAAAATTTCAATTCCAAAATACCAAAAGAAACTAAAAAATTTTGTCAACACAAAAGGGGATCTTTGGATAGAAAAATAAAATTTTATACTTTTCCCCGTCAAAATTGAAAATAAGCTTTATATCAAAATATCCCCCCCCCCCCCCCTTTCTGAACTTCCTACACCCCCCCCCCCCCCCCCCTTTCGTGTGCTCTCTTCTTCTGCAGCATTCCTGAACTCTCGGCTCTCTCATTAGATGTTCATAAACATAGAGATTAGGCGGAATGACACTATAAGTATATACAATATATATACTATGACAGGCTGAGCGCGGCCCAGTAAATTGCTGCTAACTGTTACTTTTTTTTGTTTGTTGGGGACTGGCCCGTGGTACCAGCCAATGTTTACTCAAAAATATATATAATATCAATGGTAATAAGAAATTCATCCCCGTGGGGCACATGCATAAATATAAATGTAAAGGAAATCTCAAACTATTCAATTTAGACTCTGATCTAACGGTAAAGTATGCAATGTCCTATGAAGGTTTATGACTTAAAGTTTTATTTTTCAATGGTTAATAGGTAAAAATAACAAAGTAAAACAAGACTGAGCACTTCAAAATTAGAATTTGTAGAATTTGTAACTTGACTTGATGTTTGAAATACGCTGCGATAATAAAGAATGTCCAATGTTGGCAGTGTAATTGATGAGATATGCGACGTTTATTGAGTGATGCATAAGTGTGTGCATGTAATCTAAGATGTAGAGACAAGGTTATTATCGGCATTTTGGTTTATGTTACGCTTTGATTTTCTTAGTCCTGTTATACAAAATAACATGAAATTAGGCCATTCGTCTTCGATGTTTTCAATTTCATTTTGCTGATCGATGAGCATAGTTTTTATACAAGTTTTGTAAATGTTCAGGTTAAATAGACTAGGCGGGGAAGTTGCTGTATTAACATTATATCGGTTTATTGCTAATAATGGACCTTTAAAAAATACTGAGTTGATGTAAGGGTATTGACCATAATTTTCTGACCGTTGTGTAGTGAGAATAGAATCCGGGTTAGTATTAAATAATGGTGCGCTTTTGGGAATTGTTTTCTTGAGAGACAATGGTACTAGTTTAGGAAAGTTTTTCAATTTATGCATTAAAATGAGTGCGTTCTTTACAATGATACTGTGTACTGTCAATATTTTATGTGAATAAAAGCCAGACTTGGTACTTGCTGGGGGGATACTGTCCTTGTACCAGTAATTGACGAAACCAGGATATACTGCTAGCTCGAAGGCCCATTTTCTGTTTTACAAAAAGTGATTCAATATGAGACTTGGCAGCAAAACCCCATACAAGGCTGCAATAATTAAGGTGTGACTGCACAAAACTTTGATAAATTTGAAGACGTGCTTCGAGAGGCAGATATTTTTTAAGTTTGTACATGATATATATATGACTTCTATGTATCTGAACATTTTCATTTTCATGGCAGAGATATGATAGGACCAGTTTAGTAATTAGTTTATCATCTATTATAACTCCTAAAATGCCTACAAGCCTAGCCATAGCTGTGCAAATATTGTTTGGACACAACGGATCCTAGTTTCAGTTGTGAAGGAGAAACGCTGGTCTCTACACAAAATGGGTATTGATATGTCATCTGCATTCGACACCATTAAGAGATCAGTTTTGCTAGAACTTCTTGCTGATGCTGGTTGTAGTGAAGACGACATCCGACTGGTAAGGTACCTACTCTCATGTACCAAACTGAAGATTAAAGTGAGGTCTACCGTATCAGGGGAGTTCATTGTCACGATAGGTGCGTTCCAAGGTGATAGTTTGTCTGGAAACCTTTTCACCCTGTATTTGGCTGGCGCACTTTATCACCTTCGTGCCTTTATGTCTTATCTAAGACCCAACCCTCCGTTTGCTGAAAACCTGCTACCTCTTGAGTGGGAGTATGCAGACGACGCAGACTTCACAGACGAGGATAAAAAGAATTTGGAGTCCATGTTACCAATATGCAAGGAGATATTGGAGGAGTGGAATCTTTTTGTCAACGAATCAAAAACAGAGTTCACACATATCTATCTGGCCGAGAAGAACGAAGTTGATGACAAAGGAGAGCCACTTCGAGGAAGAGAGCCCTGGAGATCATCTATCTCACTTGGTTCCAAATTGTGCAGCAACGAGGACATAAAAAGACGATGTATTCTGGCAAATCTTGCTTTCCAAACCTACAAGAAAGTTTGGGAACAAGGTAAACGCATACCTCTTAAGACCAGACTTACGATCTACGAAGCCCAGGTGGTCTCCGTCTTAATGTATAATTGTAGCTGCTGGGCTGCTTCAAAGCAGCTACTGAGTAAACTGGATATTTGCCACAGAAAGCATCTGAGGCAAATCATCAGAATGACTTACCCTAATATAATCAAAAACGACACCCTTTACAAGAGATGTGAAGTGGTTCCACTCAGTGAGCGTGTTGCATGTGCACGATGCAGGATGCTCGGACATGTCCTTCGCAGTGATAACAA